ATATGTTTCGGACTCCGGTCTGATACCGCGCAAGCCCGATGCAGTATATGTGATTATGTTATATGTTCATGTTTATGTTATGTTCAGTTTATTCCGGACTTCGGTCCAATGCCGGGCGGGGCCAGATGCAGTGGGCGGGGCCCAAGTTATTCCAGACTTAGGTCCGATGTCGGGCGAGGCCCGATGCAGTGGGCGGGGCCCAAGCTAGTCCAGACTTCGGTCCGATGCCGGGTGGGGCCCGATGCAGTGGGCAAGGCCTAGTATGTGTTATATGAGTTATTGTATGATATGTGGTAGTTTGGGGAGACTCACTAACATCCTGTTCCCGAGTCGAAATTAACGAGGGAAGACGAGAGAAAAGAAGAGAATAGGAGAGAAAGAATGAGTCAAGAGTGTTCCCGGGTTTATTTTCTGGAGTGATTTGGGAAGAAAGGAAAGGAAATCAGAGCATTCTTTTCTCTCCTAATCTTCCTCCCAAATTGGAGAGATTTGGAGAGAAGAGAATCATCGATACAACAAAAATCCCGATGATTACCAAAATACCCCTATATACATTCATGTACAACATCATAAAAGAAAAAAAAATCCCTGCTTCTCCTCTTCACGCTCTGCATCAGACGATTCCATTGACTGGTTGCTCACTCATTCGTCTTTAGGGTTCAAGCTTCCATCATCAGGTTTCATTTTTTTCTTTGATTTGTTTTTTATGTTTCTTATACCCTATTCTTCTTATACACGATGCCATCTATTTCTTGGTTATTTCTATGTTTCTTATCTGTTATTTGGTGGTATATGGGTATCTGTTATCGTCTTTTTCTGCCTCTATAAAGTAAATGATTTTTAAGGGTTTAAGATTTATAGCATTCCTTGATGAAAATGCACACAACAAATACTATACCGTGGTAGATCATAAATTTTAATCTTGAATAAAGAATGACTTACATACATTCTCCTAGGTATTTCCATGAAGTTCTCTTCATTGTTTTACAAACATAAAAAAAACACAGAGTTTTGAGCACAATGCAACCATTGTAGCTGCCACCCAAAGGTCTATCTGATATAGGTATCCCCCAAGGGCGATATCGTCCATATCTAAAAACATTAAAAGACCAATGTGCAATCTTTCACAATCTGAAAGTGTAATTAAAAACCAATGAAACAACATTCCAAGAGTAGTAATTTTTTTATTTCTTTATGTTTCTTGTTGTTATTTGGTGCTATTTAGGTAGTTATTTGGCCTCTAGTTAATCAAGAGGTAAACAACAATAATGAGTGTATCTTGTATATATAGTTAACTATTTTTGGCTAAAGCAACTAAAAATATTTACCCAGTCAAAAAACAATTAGACCATATTTCTTCTTTATCATCTATACAAGGCAAGATAGCTCCCACTATATCAGCATAATAAGGAACCAATTGATCACCCCAAGTTTTATAAACTCGTTTATTGGCATCAATTTAATAAAAGTTGCAGGTTTTCTCAAGAAATCTCATTACAATGTGCAACTAAATGTAAAAAAAAAAACTAAAAAAAAGATAAAAATTCTTCATCATAGCACTCCTAGAGTGTCAGAAATTTACAAATAAATGATAAAATTTGCTACTAAAAAATATGAGGTTTAATCGAATTAGAATTTATATAGTTTTTAGTATAATCTTATTTGGGTTTTAAAAAGCTTTCATTATGTGTACTTTTAATTTGTAAATAAAAGTTCATTAATTATAATTATAACAATTTGCATAGTTTCTTGGATTTTTTGCCCTTCGTTGTATATCTGTTTTTTTCTTGTAAAAGTAATACAAATGAAAAACATACTATAACTATGATTAATAATGAATTATGCGTTAATGATTTTTGTATAAGTAATCATGTGCAAAAAATAAAGAAGTTGAGAGGTAGGCAAGAGTTAGCAAAAAAAAAAAAAAAAGTTTACGCATAATTTTGTTTTCAAGAGAATCCTGTGGTATATATTTGAAATTATTGAAAATATGTGACAAGGGTATAATTGTCTACTTTTAGTTTTCATTTCTTTTCCTTCAACTTGGGAACACAAAGAAAAATAATTTTCCTTTCCTTTCTCTCGAACTCGGGAACAGAAAAATACATTTTACTTTCTTTTCCTTTCCTTTCTTTTCTCTCCATATTTCTCTTCTCTTCTTTTCTTTCCTTTAAATGAAGCTCGGGAACAAGGTGTAAGCTTCGTGCTTACAGTTTTCAGTTTTGGTTTCAGGTACTCAGTTTTCAAAAGAGGAGCTCGGGAAGATTGCAGTGCACACACCATTTGTTCAGCTTGAGATGTTTATACTCTGATATACTTGACAAATGTTATAATATTTTGAGATACATTGTTTATGATTTTTATGCGATATATGATGACTATGGTTTTATTACTGATTTCAAATGAAATTTTTGAACTGTATTTTTGGGATGTTTCAAATTGGTACCAACTTGTTTGGCTACCAATAAGTTCGGATGGTATATGTTGGTAACAGTATATAGCAACAATATGAGGATTTTATAAATGATGATTTTCATGTTCTTGAGCATTGTGAAACTTCAATGGGGGGTTTTGTGAATAAAATATTTGTAATGTTTGGGATTGAAACTTCAATTCGAAATGATTTTATTAATTTCTATCACGAGTTTATAAGCTAAAGCGGTGGAGGAAATTGGACACACCAATATAGTTTTAAAACATTAAACTTAACTAATCCGGTAAATGCTAATAACAAAGCTCGTAAATCATAAACACCAAACATACTAACATTTTATATATATATATATATATATATATATATATATATATATTGATTTGGTTGATATGGTAATACCGTGATACTGAAAACTTTGTACCACTACCATACCATGATTTCGCAGTTGGTATGGTACTACCAACCAAACATATTGGTTACCAATATTTTTGGTTCGGTTGATAAGATGTTGGTTGGTTTTTCGTGGTACATATTATCAACCCTAGTGTAATTTACCATATTTTTAACAGAGTTAATAAATCCCAAATATTAACAAAATGATAATTGGTGTAAAAAAGAATTCCAAAAATATTAATAGTAGACCATGTAATTTCGTCAATATATAATCCCAAATCCACTTGTTTACATCCATAAATTAACCACAAAATACAAGTCGGGATAGGTTCGGGCCAAGTTTCTTTTCGACGAACTTCCACAACAAGTTTGTTCCTGAGAAACATTTATACCGCCAAAAAGATTTCTGTAGCCCAAACACACTCTCTCTGGATTCCGATTTTAAATTCAGGCAGAGGGAAAAACACACAATTGCTTGGCTTCTGAAAAATTACTCGACAGACACATATTATCCCTTTGCGAAGATGCCGAAAGGGTTACCGTTCTCGGTGGACACATGGACGCCATGTTCAAATAGAAAGAGACATCATTTTCTAACACACGCCCACAAAGATCACTCTCAAGGAATCTCCACTCTCTCTTCTTTTCCAATTTACACTACCCGTCTCACAAAATCCCTCACTCTCAACTATTATCCGCAGGTAATCATTCATCTGTATAATTTGTTTTATATGAAATGAAATCCTATTAAACCCTATGTTGCGCTGGTGTCCTCGATTTTGATTTGTATATGCTGTTCATTTGCAGCTTAATGAGTCGTTATTTGTGGATATTGAGATTGGTCAGCCGATTGCTATTAATGATCCCGTTGAAACTTTTACGTTACAATCTATTTTTAGTTTAGTTAATTTTGTTCCTTTTATGCGTGTGTTTTCTAGTTTTGTTTTAGCAGGAATTATGAGGGACATCACAACCATGACAATGGAAGATTACAAGCGACATATGAGGAATGACAACAGATGAGGTCTTGATCTCAACCAAAAATCTCAACCAAAAATCTCAACCACTACAAAAATCCATCAATTCACCCCTCCTTCAAAAGTGGGGAAGCTAAATAGAAATATCCAAACTTTCTAACTTTTAGTAGTTATTTTATTAATTAAATATTGTTCCCTGTGATCGATACCCGACTTACTTACTATTCTATAATCCAACTAGGCACATTGCCTATAAGTGCATAGTTAGTTAAGTTTTGTTAGGTTATAAATTTAAAAATTGATAGGTATCTCTATTCTAATAAATGAATAAGTTTAATTTCCTATTGACAAGTGTCATACTATGAGAACTCCTCATTAATATTATATATCACCTATCATGACACTTATCAACCTATTAATTATCAATTTTAAATTTTAAATTTTAAATTTCCCACTCTAATTACATTAAATTAATAATTGATTCTCTATTTTAAATTTTCAAAATTAAAATTTTTTCACTCTAATTATACTAAATTAATAACATTAGATTAAAAAATAAAATAAAACTAATACAGATTATAAGGTGATATAACTTCATTTATTTATTTAAATCAACGATAATAACTTTATATAACTAAAAAAATATATCTTAAGTAATAATTTATTTAAAATAATTTATTAATAATTTTGATTTTTTAATATGAAAAATTTATTAGTTTTATAACCATGGTTCTCACGGTTATAAACTAGTATTTTATATACATCAAAGATCAGTACATTCAAATCCGTGTTCACACGACATAAGGCCACACATAGTTAACTATATATTTTTAACGAAGTTAATAAAAAAAAATCCTAAACATTAAAAAAATGATAATAGGTGTAAAAAAATTTCCAAAAATATTAATAGTAGCCCATGTAATTTTGTCGATATATAATCCGAAATCCACTAGTTTTTATATCCATAAATCAACCACAAAATACGAGTCGGGTTAGGTTCCGGTCAAGTTTCTTTTAAGCGAACTTCCACAGCAAGTTTGTTCCTGAAAAACATTTATACCGCCAAAAAGATTTCTGTAGCCCAAACACACCCTCTTTGTGGATTCCGATTTTGAATTCATACAGAAGGAAAAACGCACAATTGCTTGGCGTCTGTGAAAAATTACTCGACAAACACATATCAGCTCTTTGCGAAGATGCCGATAGAGATGCCGAAAGGGCTACCGTTCTCGGTGGACACATGGACGCCATGTTCGAATAGAAAGAGACATCATTTTTTAACACACGCCCACAAAGATCACTCTCAAGGAATCTCAACTCACTCTTCTTTTCCAATTTACGCTACCCGTCTCACAAAATCCCTCACTCTCAACTATTATCCGCAGGTAATCATCATTCATCTGTATAATTTGTTTTAAATGAAATGAAATCCAATTAAACCCTATGTTGCGCTGGTGTCCCCGATTCTGATTTGTATACGTTGTTCATTTGCAGCTTAATGAGTCGTTATTTGTGGATATTGAGATTGGTCAGCCGATTGCTATTAATGATCCCGTTGAAACTTTTACGGTTACTGCCTTTGATGCGAATCATTGCCCTGGTAATTGATTTGGAATTCAAAATTATGATCCTTTTGTAAACTAAATATGAAGTTTTTGATTGATTTTTTTTTAAAACTATCGTCTTAGGGCATTTCTATCCTAATCTTGTGCGGAGTAAATTCATGTCAAATATATTCCACGATGTTTCTCTAAAAGAATTCTGTATACTTACTTTGATTTGGGTATGTAAAGGCCAATACATGATACATTAGACCTACAAATATGGTTCGTTTTATATCTGTTAATAAAAACTCAGTAACTTTTATTTGATATCTTCTGGAGTAGAGTTACAGCTGTGCATTGTATTTACATATAATATACAAACGCTCATATGAAAACTCGTTTAACTCCTATGGCCCATTCCACACATCACCATGGAATGTAATGACCCATTTCATTACCTTGCTTATTCCATTCCATTCCTTTAGTATTCCATTCCACAACCAGACCTTGAATTCTATCCAAATTAATCTAATATGTAACTTGGTGTTTCCCTCTTAATATAATCATTATCAGGGAAAGTTGGGCTTCAGGTTTAGAAATTGCAATGAATTCTTGCAGCCTAACCATGGAATTTGAAAACCCTGAATAAACAATATTATCAAACTCTTTGTTTCTTTATATCAAGTTTTCAAGGATATAAATATTATATTGTTTACTATTTTGTGATTGTATCTACAAGCTTGTCATTATCATTTGCATGCTCCAAATGTGATATTGATTAAACTTACACAAATGACCCCTTTATCTGCAATGCTTCTTTCAACTTTCAGGTGCAGTCATGTTCTTGTTTGAGGGCACATTTGGTAATATCCTTCACACAGGAGACTGCAGACTAACACCCGAGTGTTTACAAAGATTACCCGAAAAATATTTAGGCAAAACATCAAGAGAACCCAAGTGTCAACTTGATTATATTTTTTTAGATTGCACATTCGCGACATTTTCTTCAAAGATGCCTAGCAAACATGTTGCAATTCGCCAGGTAGACATTTTCTCCTTCTTAAGGGCTATCAAGACACGAACCCTTTTTTGCAGAAACTATACATGAAGGTGAAAGAGGTGACTTAATGGTTATAATCATGTTTCTATTAATGCAGGTTATTGATTGCATATGGAAGCATCCGGATGCTCGAGTGGTGTACCTAACATGTGACCTTTTAGGTCAAGAAGACATACTTGAAAATATCTGCAAAACTTTCGGGTCAAAAATCTTTATAAACAAAGAAAACAACCTCGAATGTTTCCAATCTCTATCTCTAACCATACCCAACATCCTTTCACAACACCCATCTTCAAGATTCCATCTTTTTGATGGATTTCCAAGACTTTCTGAAAGAGCAGAAGCAAAAATAATTGAAGCCCGGGCTAATTTTCAACCCGACCCTCTTATAATCCGCCCTTCCGCCCAGTGGTATGTCTTCGAGGACGTGTCTTCTGAATCCGAAAAACGAAAAAACATTCGATTTAAAGAAGCAATCAGGGATAATTTTGGAATTTGGCATGTTTGTTATTCGATGCATTCGTCTAGGGACGAACTCGAGTGGGCCCTACAATTACTTGCACCGAAACGGGTGGTTTCCACCACCCCTGAGTTTCGGGCCATCGAGCTTGGGTACGTGAGACGCCATTGTTCTTTTGACAATTTAGCCCCTGATGATCCTGTTTGGAAGCTTCTAGATATTGATCTCGAGGCTCCATTGGTCAATGAAGACATACAAGAGGAAGTTACGATCAATAAGAAAGAAATGTCGACCGTTTCTTCTCCGGTCAAAGGGCCGTGTTTGACATTGTTTGGAAGAGCGAGGGCTGGACTCGGGAATTCTACACTAAGTTATGAAGACTTAGTCAAACCCGAAATCCCGACCCAGAATGTGGATGAAGTGGGTTCGGATGGGGAAGTTCCGGAAGGTCAACATGATGGGTCAAAGTTAAACGGGCTAACGAAAGGAATCGGAAAACGGACAACTGCTTATTCACCAACGGTAACATCAAACGGAGTTAATGAGAATATACGGAAGTTGTACAGAAGTATGCATATTCCGGTTCCTAAACCACTTCCTTCTTTAGTGGATCTATTGAATAATAGAAAACGAGCCAAAAGAAGTTTCATGTTGTAGAGTTTAATTGATCTTGGTCTGCATTAGACCAGTCCGGACCGGGCCAGATTTGACCCGGTCCAGACAGTAGAGTTTTGAACAAACTATAGTTTGTTAAACTAGACCGGTCCGGTCCTCAACCTGGTCTTTATAGACCAGGTCGGACCGGTCTGCATTTATTTTTCCAGATTAACATTGACCGCTTGGTCAGTGCTGCATATACACTTTACATGAAAAGAAAGAATACTAGTAATTGCAAGCGTTGTCTTAAATTTATGCTTTGTTCGATTAATATGGTAAGATACATTGTCAAATTACAAATTGTTTAGTAGGACCCACTTTGAATGAAATCTTGTTTTTTGAAGTGCTCGCCTCTGATTCATATTCTTTCATAGTCGAGCTTGTCCGACTGCAAGAAAGAGTATGTTGGTTTAAGTTGTAGTGATGAATTGAGCCAATAAAGTTTGTTGCTATAAAAGCATGTAACATAAATTGAAATAAGTTAACAATTTACCTTAATTAGCATGTCCGTTGGAAGCCAAGCTGGTGCAGTCGGGACCCCAATCCATGCAATCTAAAACAAAAAGTAAAACATAGACGTTTAAGATGGTATAAAAAATTATATACTTTTATAGAAAAGATTTATTATTTATTATATAATGGAATACAATACAATTGTTGAACTTACAAGTGCATACTCTCCTGTTTCAAAGATACGGATGTCCAAAACCTCCCCACGGTCTTCATAAATGTAGTCCAAGCCTTTATAATAAGGAGGATGTCCAACGGATAGATACTGAAATAAAACCAAAAAGTCATATTAGCTTAGCCTATAAAGTTTGCATTATCTTCGTATATATTATTTCCTTCCTTCTATCAATCTTTCATCATATTACAGTAGCATAATTTCTTATGAAATGATAAGTTTAATCGTATTAATAATGATGAGAGGGACTTACATTGATACTATTTAGATACTTTTCCTTTTCTACTCTAACAATCTGGCCCTTTTTCACTGCCAACAAAACAAAAGTATTAATACCTATTACCAATTATATGAAGAAAATTAAAATTGGAGTTGGTTTGAATTACTGACTGGAGTAAACAGGCTTCTTGGGGGCTTTTGGTGCGGCGGTGGCTGGAGGAGGTGGGTCGGCAGACTCAGGTGATTTCACAGCTTTAATGGATAAATGGAACCTGCCACCGCTGCCACCAGGCGGCAGTACTACTTTAGTGGTGGTTGATGTGGGTGGTGGGGGGTATGGTTTTGTGTACTGAAATGATGAGAAGGATGAAGAGTATGCCGTTGCCATTTTTCTTGAATTTTCTGTTTCGTGACCCTTTCTTTTTATTTTGTTTATATATGTATATATAGATAAGAAAAGATTGGTCATCCATCTTCAAAATCATTCTTTTTTGCTTTTTCTATTTTTCCCCAAAGGTTTGGAAAAGTGCATTTGGATCACAGGTATATATAATGTTTTCATCCAAGGTCTTAACTCTTAGTAGCTCGAATAAAATAAAAAAAGGTGAAGGAATGTCAAGGTATTGGGTATTTTGAATCTTCAAATAACTTATTTTCATTAAATATCCTTATTCAATGGTCTATGTTAGTTATCTTAATTAGAATCTAATGGAAATAATGCTATCGGTATAACTCTAAAAATATAAGTATGTAATTAAACATAAATGAAAATATATTGTTGCACATGTACATATATTATTTTCCTGAACTTAGGGTGTGTTTGGGTTATTTTCTTTATCACAAAAGTGATTTTTAAGAAAAATGCTTATTAGCTTATTACTTTTAGGAAAAACGCATTTTTGGATAAAAAAAGCTATTTTTTTAGGAGTAAAATGCTAAAAAGCTAGGATTTTTCGGCCTTTTGAAAGCTTTACTTTCCTATCCAAAAAGCTGTTTTAAAAAACGTTTTTTAAATATACAAACATTTTTTTTACCTTATTAGCTTTTTGAAAAGCTAAAAAGCTAATAAGCTATTTTCAAAAGCTATCAAAAAGGACCCAACCAACCACTTAAGATATATATTAACACATTGAATATAATTATCAAAACTAATAACACGATCTATATAAATATAAATTTAGGATGTTACTGAGAAAATCAGAATTTTGAATATGTGATTTTGATTGTTGTTTAGGATCTTGAAGTCTTATTTTCCATAATACTATCATGAGTTATAAATACGAATTTTGAATATGTGGTTTTGATTGTTGTTTAGGATCTTGAAGTCTTATTTTCCATAATACTATCATGAGTTATAAATACATGCTTGCACCAAGTATCCTAAACATAAGAAGCATAAATTATCTAGAAGATAAATATAAGCTAGATAATGATTATATGACTTCCTTCACTCCTCTCAATTTGAGTTTGAAGGTGTTGATCGCGAACAACCAACTTGTATAGTGATAAAGATAAGCCTCTAATGCCAAATAGTTTTGTGAAAATGTTAGCAACTTGATCTTTGGTTTGGTATTCCGCTTCAATCGACTAATCGAGTATCCAGAGAAACCAAAATGCTTCTTTATTTTCCAAGAGACATGTGCACCTCCCAAAGTGATCAAATAACTTGTTTTTGTATACATGGTAAAGGGAACCCAAGCCAATCCGAGTCACAGAAAACATCACGTTTAGATCCCCATAAGATGGTAAAATATTCCATGTCCAGGGGTGGTTTTGAGGCAACAAAGAATTATGACAACAACATCCAAGTGTTATTATTTAAGTGATAAGACGAACTGACTGAATGTAACTGGCTGAATGTATTTTCAACAAGATTTATGTATGGTTGGGTGATTTGTAAGTATAGAAGCCGTCCAATGAGACAATGTTATTTTCCAGCAGTAACTCATAAACGATTGGTGAATCGCTCTCAATTACCAGTTGAGCATTTTGATCCATTGGAAATGAACTAGGCCGACATCCTTGAAGAACACTGATGTGTTATAAAACAACGCTTTAAAATTTATATCCTATCTATTCAACTAAGCTAAAACACAATAGGCAGTGTACCTAGTCGCACAATAGTAAATTAGAGTAAGTATGAGTTGAACACAAGGAACGAAATTCTAGTTAAGAAAATAATACTAATAATTAAACTAGAAGAAGCAAACTTTGATTTGGACGGTTTTTATCATTTTTCAACTTCAGAAAAAATTAATTAAGGCAATCTACTAAAAACACTTTAACTAAAGCAAACAAATAGAAAACGAGTTTTAATCAAGAATTAAAAGATACTTCCGTTTAACTTCAAGTCCCCTTTTTCCTATGGTTAATTTCAAGCAATGGATTAATTCAGTTGGTTACCAAATTAGAAGTTACTAGCTATCATGATTAGACTAACTAGTGTATGTCAATTTATAAACTTTAACCCCAATGATCATGCATACTAAGTACACCAAATTGATTTTAAGATATATTTCGACAATGAATGAATCGATCTAAGAATTATCTATCTATGATCAAGATTAACTATCAAACACATATTATGATGTAATAATGCTCTCTAACACAGCTAAACAACTAACTTTACAACCTATATTAGGATATGGTCAATCTCTAGCTCTAGCAATTTAATGATCATAAACAACTAGGTAAAAAAGTTCATGCAATCAATGGCCACTTAACTATACAAAACTTGAGGGTAAGGCAATAAAGATAACAACTTTAACATGTTAGGATACGATCTACCAAACACAAGCTAAAACCAACTTCAATAATCCATAAACAGAAATTAACACATAGTATTAGGGTTCATCTAATCTAAATGAAAGTAAGTGGTTATTAGCCCATGATTACAGAAAAACACTCATAATCATAAAGTAGTCTAGGTTAAACATAGTAAATCTAGGCAAACCAAATGATTAAAGATGAATCTTTACTTCAATATCCCTAACGCTTGTTCTCCAATCGAATTCAGTTCTCCAAGGTTTGTTGGTCGCTTTTGGTTGAAGAAAACATTAGCTCCCTATGCATGCATCACGAATTCTGACATAAAAAGCGATATTTATACTTGCCAAATTATAACTTCAACATCGTGGCCAAATGGTCGCCATGTTGTGGAAATTATTCCAGACGCGTATTCCTCAAGCTTCGCCGTTGGTTAATCGGGAATGTTCTAAAAGCCACGTTGTAGATCAGGAGATGCCACACCGTGGGGTTCTTCTTTTATGCATAATTCTTCTCTTCTTCTTCTTCTTGATGCAAGCTTCATCCTCCAAGTTTCCAGCTTTGCTCCATTTTAGTCCATTTTCACGAGAATGTCTTTCTTTGGCTACAAAATAGAACTTATACTTTATAAGTACCAAATAAATTTGTAGGGAAGATACCATAAAAGTCCTAAAATTTTGTAATTAAATTGGGGAAAACCCTATAATTTAATTTTTCGCCACTGTGACCATTTTTGTGCCGTTAAGCTATCAATTTAAGACAAATAGCCGGCTAACAAACGGTAACCTGCCTCAGCCAGTCACTTCTTACCTTGAAACAGCCATCCATCACCTTTCTCTCTTTACCTATTCATCTTTCAGAACTCAAAAAGGGTTTTCATGCATACAAACGTTTGGGAAGATAGGTTTGAAAAGGGATAGTGAAGAATCACCATTTTCACACGGGAAATTGTTGCTAAGACACACTACAAGTGCAAGGTATGTAGGTTTGAACATGAAATTGAAGTGTATGTGGGTTTTTCCTCACGTCAGTATCAGTAACAAGTTCTTTATTGCACATTTAGCAGATGACCTTTGTTTCTGGTACTAAGAAACACAAAGACAAACGACCTAAAATTGGTACTAAGAATGAGAAAGGCAAAGGACCTGAGAAGGTATATGTTGAAGACTCAGACTCAAATGATGAAGTCTTTGACTTCAGTTTCTTGGATTTTTCACAAGAAACTTGCAAACCACCATCCAACTTATGTAACGACCCGTTTCGTAACTTTTTGTGTGATGAAAATATGTTAAAGAGGGGTATAGACGGGCCGGGGGATGATAATAATCAACCTGGTGTAAATAAGGTTGAGCATGGCCACTTACCAGAGGTAAATGATAAAGAAATTGGTGTAGAGTTTAGTTAGGGTCCATGATCTAAACCAAATTTGGAGAAAATGGAGACCTGAATTGGGTGAGTGTTATGATTCCCCTGCTCAACTTAGGTTTGCATTAACAAATTATGCAGTCCATAATGGCTATGGTATTTACTTTGAGAAGAGTGATAGACTTAGGGTAATTGCTAGGCGTGGCAACAATTCTAGTGATAAAAAGCCATGTCCTTTTAGGGTAGCAGTTGCTTGGAAGTATAATGAAAGGACATTCCAAATTAAATCCATTGTTAAGACTCATAGTTGTGCTAGGAATTAAAACTTTGGTAGCTTAGTTACTTCTAACTAGTTAGCCAAGCACTACTTGCAAGATGTTATTAGGAAGCCCAAAATGACATTGGATGAGATGAAAGAAGATGTTTTGAGGAGGTTTTCAGTGAATGTATCTAAGGGGCAATGTCAAAGAGCAAGTTCACAGGCTAGGGAGATGATAGAAGGAAAGTTATAGGAACACTATGCTAGGGTTTGGGACTATGCAGATGGAATCCTCAGGTCTAATGCAGGGAGCACATGCAAGGTTGGGGTAGATGTCAATCCTGGTGGAATAAACTATTTCAAGAGGTTCTATGTATGGTTCAAGGCTTTCAAGGATAGATGGAAAAAAAGATGCAAAAAAGTGATAGGACTGGATGGATGTTTCTTGAAGGGGCAAGTAAAAGGTGAGCTACTGACTGCTATTGGTAGAGATGCATACAATCATGTCTACCCAATAGCTTGGGTAGTGCTTACAACTAAGAATAAAGACAATTGATCTTGATTCATTGAGTTATTGGTGGATGATTTGGACCTTGGTGGTGGTAATGGGCTAGTTGTTATTTCAGATCAACATAAGGTATGTATATGATGCCTTTCAATAAAAAATTGTACAAATGTGTTACTTATTAATTTGTTATCATATTACAGGGACTATTGCAGGCTGTGGCACAATTCCTTCCACATGTTGAACATATACAATGTGCAAGACATATATTTGCAAATTTTAGGAAAAGATACACAGGATTGGAACTAAAGAATCTGTTTTGGGAGGCTGCTAAAAGTACATTAGAAGGGGGCTTTAAAGCTATAATGGAGAAGATCAAGAACATCACACTTTCAGGTTATACCTATCTAATGGCAAGACAACCGGAAACTTGGTGCATGGCCTTCTTTATAACAAGATTTGCATGTGAGGCTTTAGAGAATGGTATTTCAGAATGCTTCGATTATGTGATAAGGAAAATGAGGAAGAAACCTTTACTTACAATGCTTGAGGAAATCAAAATTTACCTAATGGAAAGGGTTTATCATCAAACGGATTTGCCTAACCAATGGAGATGTGACTATGGCCCAAATACCGTAGAAAAACTTACAAAATATGGGAAAGATATGAGGTAAAATGTTAACACATTAACTGTTTTTAATTTGTTATAATATTATTACATATAATTGGTCACTAACTTTTTTATCTTGTAGGTTGTGGAAGGTAATACCAAGTGGAGGTCATTTATTTGAGGCTAGGTATGCATATGATGGGTACAAGGTGGATTTACATCATCATTCATGCACATACAGAATATGGATGTTGTCTGGAATACCATGTGTTCATGGTTAGGAAACAATCAACTATGTGCACAAAGATCCTCTTGAGTTTCTTTCTCCCAGGTTCCATAAGGACAAGTTGATTGCAACATATATGGAATATATACTGCCTGTTGGTGGAAGCAATCTGTGGTAAAGGACTGATTTCATCAAGCCACTACCACCCCTTGTGAGGAGAATGCCTAGGAGACCTAAAGTAAACAGAAGGAAGCATGATTCTGAATCTCAAGACTCTAAATATCCAACTCAAAGGGCAAAGATACCTAGGAATATCACATGTGGAAAATGCCAACAAATTAGGCATAACAAGAGTTCTTGAAAGAATGAAGAAGTTCCCAAAAATCCTATTCCAACAAGGAAGTTTGGGAGACCAAGGAAAGATGGAGTTGGTCAACCATATTTTGACCACTTCCTACCTAAAAGGAATGGAACAAGGATGGATAGTGAAGGGAAAAGCACTACTCCTAATAATGTTCAACAAGAAGAAATTCAACCTACACAGAATCTAGGGGATGATGTACCAATTGAAACTGGTCAAAATGTACAAGATGAAGGGGATAAAATGGTTAGTCAAACTGATCACCATGAGAATATGGCTAAGCAACCTACTCCTAAGAAAAGGATAAAGATGAAGACAAGGAGGCGACAGAAAAACAACATAATTAGGAGGAGGGAAGAAACTGATGTGGGGGGAGGACAGGAGATGTGTCCCTTACTTGTGAAGAATTCATTAGTGACATCTTAAAGGATAAACCTTATGTAGATAGGAAAATGATTGAGGTTAAGGTGAAAGTGCCTGATGTTGCGGTGAATGAGACTATAGATGAGGTGAATGAGACTGTAGGTGAGGTGAAAAAGATTGTGGCTGAGGTGAATGAGCTTGAGGCTGGGGGCAATAAGCTTGAGCCTGAGGGGAATAAGACTGAGGTGAATGACCTTCAGTCTGAGGGGAATAAGGCTGAGGTGAATGAGTTTGAGGGCATGATAAGAGACATGGTTGAATGTGGATATCCACAAGCTGAAATTGAGTTAACCATGCAAAAGGTATGCAATTTACGTGTCCCTTTTAATATGTTTTTTTCATTCATATCATGATATCTGTTTGCTTACAGGTTAGAAGGGAAAGACATAAGATGAGGGTTGTTTCACTATTGAAGAGGAGCAAAACTTTTGAAAGAACCATCAAGATAAATCTAAGCAAGAGTGAACCTGTTTCGTTTTCTGAGAAGAAGAGACCTTATATGAAGGACAAGATACTGTGTTCGGATTAGCATGTATGCATATTGTAGGGGTAAAATGGCATAAGTATTTAGTCTGCCCTTTTTGAACAGATATCCCTATATCTTTTGGATTAACATGTTTCATAGTATAGGAGTAATATGGGCATTAGTTTTTTGTCTGCCCTTTTTGAACATAAAATCTTTTGGTAACAGGTTTCCAATTCATGTCCAATAAATTTAGCAGAATTGGAACCTTGGTTCTAATTGTTATTACCCCTTTGTGTAGTTATGTTGGTACTTTGGTCATACTACATTGTATTTTGTGAGATGTTATTGTTGGCTAATGATAAAATATAAGCTACTATTACCTTTGGTTGACAGTAGATAGTCTTTTTAAGTTCATTATCTTGATTGTTGTTAATTGAATTTACATTGTAAAGTACAGTACCATATAAGGTTATTGACATATGTTTGGGCAAAATGTACAAATAATAGCCATCATAAATAACCATCATATTCATTAGGGACATTTCCCATTACATGACTTGAGTTACATCACAAAACACTACTACTACACCTACACCTAAATAAAACTACATAAACATCAAAAGATCACCTCCACCTTCACAAGAAACACTGTCATGATCAACACCTTTCCCAAAACACTAATGCCTACATATTCAACCAGTTTAAAACATCACTTTGTGAACCATGAAACCCAATAAAATCACCATCACCAGAAGAAGCAACAACATGATCACCACCACCTTCAAAAGTGTCAACATTATTCTCTAACATTCTTTAGCTTCATTTGCTTGTTCCAACTCAACATACAACTTCCACATTGTTTCCTTATAGTAACTTTTTGGTAGTGGTGGATCAAGCCACAAGAAAAAATCACATTTATTTTGTTCTGCATAGTGTCAAAAACGATTTGCCTTTGCCTTAGTTTTAGTTTAATAGCAACAAAATCACAAAAATAATGTCATTTTTACCTGATAGTTAGGACACCCTCAAAATTTTCTGCTTGGATTTTCATGTGTAATGGAGATGGAGAAAGTGAAGATTTCATCACAATCACACCTAAGCTCTTTAGACCACTGATTCCTTGATGCCCATGCTCTGTATAACCCATAATTTGAAGACGAAACCATGCTTTACCAGTGGGAGAGAGGGAAGGAAGAGCATGCGTGACCTGCTACTATCTCTCAAACGTTCATAAAAAAGATTTGAAACCTTAATGATCGGATGAAACCGGTGAAACCGGATAAAAGGGCTAAGCCAAATACTCAACGACACAAAATGGCCACAGTGACCAAAAATTAAATTATAGGGTTTTCCCCAATTTAATGATAAAATGTAGGACTTTTATGGTATTTGCCCTAACTTTGTATTAAACCAAATCATAGCTAAAATGTATTGAAATAATGCACGTGTGTGTGTATATATATATATATATATATATATATATATATATATAGACACACACACACACCAATATCAAAATACCCCACACTTGTCTTTTGATTGTCCCCAAATAAAACTTTATATCAATACATCACATTAAAACATTGCCCACCAATATCACACAAAACAATCCAATTTAAACTCACTATTTACACCTTAAATCAATGTATGTATTTGTGTTTAATTTCTAATTATCTCTCAGTCCTAAATACTCACAATCCTCATAAACGTTCTCCAATTATTTTGAACACCATTCAGTTTTGGCCTTCCTACCACCTACGCCCTTTGATTTATCTCATTTTGTTTCAAAAGTTATTTCCAAATTCTATTCGACACGACTTTAAAAAGAAAAATACTATATATATATATATATATATATATATATATATTATAATTGACCTAAAAATATAACTACACTTTTATTGTAACTTCTTATTTTTATGGAACTTTTTTTTCGCTTTTAAATTTTTTTTTTACAATTTTTTCCATTTTTTTTCTTTTTCATAACTTCAACGTTCACATAAATAAGCAAACAAATAATTTCTAACTTTATTGCTACTATACTGTAGTTCATGACTTTCTAATAAATTCATTGGAGTACTCGGAATTCCTTAGGCCACTAATAAAACCCATGACTGTAACGTCCTATTTTCACACCCATTTTTTTTTTCCATTTTTATTAAGGTAAAACTTCCCAATTTGTAAATCCATTAATAAGAAAATTGTTTATTCCAAATTACATTTATTAAAAATCAGAGTGTCATAAAAAACACGGAATCCTCAATGCTGCTGATGAGTGTGTACAGTCTCGCCTTCGCATTCCCACGATCACTGATAAAGCCTGCAAAACATAAATAACTGAGTAAGCACAAATCTTAGTGAGTTTTCCCCAAAATACCCCATACGATAAACATACAAGAATGCACAATGGCCAACAACCTCCCGGTTGGAATTCCCAGGCCCAATCAGTCTGAGGACTGGAATGCCAACATGCAACGGGTCCAATCAACCATCGGGTTGGAATGCCCAGGGTTTATTGGCCTACTGCCTCAACCCAACTGCTCCTCTCGAGCCTCCATGCCTTCAGCTTACAGCCGGCTCGCACCGGGTATCTTGGCCTACAACACAAAGCAGGACCGCCTCAACCCACTAATACCATATGTCGACATATAAACAATCAAGGATCAATTAGGCATACAATACAAACAAGCAACAATATTACAACTCACTACCGCCTACTAGTTGTATTTTGTTTGAATGAAGTATTAAGAACAAAATCAAGAATAGAAAGCGTTTAAAACAAAGATGTAAATAAATTCTGTTTGGCTAGTTGATTTTGTTTGAACAAGTATACAAGAACACAAGAGAGTAAACAACGAGAATGCCCAAAAGCTCCTATTGACTCCTATACTTACCCTATTTATAGGGTGATACAGACTCATACAAAAAATATGTAAGGACTAGACATTTAAGCTTCGACATCTATAATTGCCTTATATAATACATACATATCAAAGTGCTTGACTTTGACATCGACACTACCCAGACCTATAAGTACTTTGAAACCTTACTAGATATTTCAACCCTTACAATATCCCCCTTAGTGAGAAGTGTCGAACTTATGCCATCATCTTCATGGTCTGGTGAAGTACCATGCGAACCTCTATATACCAAATAATCGTCTTTCTAACTTCAACTTTATTTTCTGCACTGTTTTTCTTGCGATTGTTGAGACGAACCAGAAGACTTGTATATTGAGAGTTCACGTACCTCTCCACATCACAGGCTTGAAACAAAAATTTAGTCATCTTCCCATTTTTGTTCGTTCCAAGAACAACAACTCCGAAGGGTTTATGCACAATCTCCCCTCAACATAGTCTTTGAGATTAATCTGCCCTTTCAGCATTGACTAGGGAACCTTCAAAGTCCTATTGACAGCCAATGCTAGCTCGATGTCAGTAACTGCCAAGCAATCATAATAGTTATATATGAATACTTTGATATGAGCAAACCCTATCAAGAAATCACCCTTGTTGTTTTCTTGAAGCTTCGACACATCGACAATACTTAGTATCTTTTTCATATTAATCAGATCATTAAAGTTCACCAGAGGGAAGTCTGCAATTGAGAAGTCACATACTACATTGTTTGCTCTGACCACAAAATAGGGAAAAGTTTGCAGTAAACCTTCAAACAAACTTTCTCTTGCAATGTTCATCACTTTGACAATCTTTATTGAAGACCAAACTTCCTCTTCTTTCTTTCCCAAGACTGCATGAAATCTTATCTTTAGTCTCTTATATTCTTCTTGATCTTGGAACTAATCAGCCAACTTGTATTATGCAGAAACAAACTTCATATGATTTATCGAAAAATCCAATTGATTAAAGTCAGAGTTTTCAATCTCATAACTCTTCTTTGGAAATTTTCCAAAATCATGCTTCTTCCCTGATGAAACGACTTGTTCAATTATTTCATAACACCAATATGTACTGGGATCACCCTTTTTTAAACCTGGTGGATCACTTTGTCGTTGTCTCAGAATGTTGTTAATATGTCGTTTCCTTTCGTCTCCTTTATCATGGCTTTGGTTTCATCTTTACTTGTACTTGATCCCCCAACACTTTCTCCAATAACAATGCCTTTTGTTATTGGTCTCGATGTTGTAGTTATAGAAGTAGTTGTCAGTGAAACTGGAAGTGATGTAGAAATTTGAGTTGCTATCACCTTCCCTACAACTTTACCTAGATTAGTATCTTTCGAAGGGGCAACACCTTTTTCTCCCCTTGCATCATGTGTTTCACATGTGGGACATTTGTTTGCAAGAGAAGCACCAACCTAAGAATAGGTTCAAGCTTTGCCTTGATGTTGGATTCGATAGAAGAAATCATCTTCAAGATAAATTCCTGAGATACAACTGATTGTTGAGAAAGATAAAACTTCGAAATATATTCTTTTAAGTTTCCCAAAAACTCCTCCAACTTTTCAAACACTTTAGAATCTTGTTCTATTTTCGTATCAAGATTGGTTGAGTACAAAGTATTATACTCCACAAGTTTCGTTATGGCATCATCAATAACATCAACCTTGCCATGAAGAATGGAGTAATTCTTCTCCATCTTTTCAACTTCCTTCGTCATCTCAGACTTAAGCTCTGCCACCTTGAGGTTTACTAATTCCTCCACCTTCTTGACTTGCTCAACAAAAATTTCATGACGTTCTTTTGCAACATCACGAAGTTTTGTAACCTCATATTAAAAATTTCGAGCATGATGCTTTAAACATTCATCATGTTTTTGCTCAATCTGTTCCATAACAAGCTTAAGGCGATTCTCCTCAGACTTGAGCATAATATCCACTTGAACCCCATAAACAGAGTTTTGTCCTCATGTATCAGCTTGAATTTGCAACAACGAATTCAACTTGTGATTGAGAATCTTAAATTATTTTCCTGACATGAGCATGTGATCAGGAATATTATCTTCTTCAGGATCAAACTGAATTTCTGCAAAAGAAACCATGACATCATCAGCATCAGGTTCATCTTCTTGATCGGTCTTTTCTCCTTCTGTGGATTGCGAAGA